ATTATAGCGAGTATAATTGTTTGATCAATATCAGAATAATTAAATTTTATTTAAATAACTTGTTTTTTATAAAAAAAAAAATATTTTTCAAATAAAATAATTTTAATTAATTAAAATTAATTAAACTAAATACTTAAAAAATTAATTGGTTTTTACAACAGTCATTAAGCACAATTTAATCGTTAGTAAAAATAAACTGATAATATATAAAAGTACTGCTTTTACTAATACCGAGTTTAGCTTTAATGTCAATTCTATATAAAGTTGGCACAATGGCTTATGACCTAAATGCATCATAATTTATGAGTCAGATTTTTCAAACTGTGTGAAGCGCTATAAAGGAGAGGTATCGATTATCCAGTTACGGAATATTGATAAGATTACGATGGAAACAAGAGATATGTACTATAATATTATAGTAATATCGCATTACTCGAAATTTTCTCAGGTGGCAAAGAGTTCATAGTTTTTACTGTACTTTTGCGTAATTCAATCTCTGGATATCGGCGTACATCAATTTAGTATCATGTTGGTCTAAACGCTCGTTCGACCACTCAAACGTTTCAAACGTTATCGGAACGTCGCAAAATATAGCGGCCATTCAAAAGGACACTCGAAGATATCGGTGGTATGAAACGCGCTGGTGTGTACTGTCTACGCGAATAAAACGAGATCCGTGAAAACAAACAAAAACAACAGCTCGCATCGGTGCGCGGGCACGCGTGAAATAATAAATTCGACCCAATTGTTTTCCCGTATCAATAAATATACTATCTGCGGATACGGCGCTTTTTTTCGCCCCGTTTGCGCCCGACGCAGTCGGGGCAAAGCGCGAAATGAATTGCACACCGGGCCCGGTGATATCTCTGTGACCTGTGATGGCGCGGGTGTAGCGACGCCAGCGCGGAATTGCTTTTTGCTCGATGGCCGATGCCCGCTTAATTCTTTGGAAGAATTCGCTCCGTACTGCTCTCACTATTTGACTGTTCTGCCGTAATCTGCTGCGTCGTCAGAGGGCACCCTCATTTTGGGTTTCTCTTTGTTGGACCCACCCAAACATTATTGCGAAAATACCTCACATTGTAGACGTTTTCTACGTGTGCTCTTATATATTGTCAGTTTCACATACACTAATGATTAAATTGTGTTTAGACAAGTTTATAAAATGTTAATAAATTTTCAAAAAAAAATTAATTTAAACTTTAAATTCATTAAAGCTCTTATTGTAGAGGTATCCATAAGATAATGATAAATGTTATATATTAAAACAACTAAAAGAAGTATAAATAAAACAAAAAATAAATATTAAAATATTTGATTTTTATCAGAAAAATATATTCGCGATGTATTTAAACTATAGAATAATATTTAAATAAAAAAATGTACAATTTACAAATGCATATTTTTCAATACAGATAAAATAATATTATTTTGGTTTTCATATTCTGACTCTTCAATAAAATATATTATTATTAAAAAAAAAGAAATTATTCAGATTTATGCAATCGTCAAGAGCAATCGATAGAACAGTTTGGTTAATATAGTTAATTATAGATGGGCTCGTTAATTATTGAAAGAGTTCATCGATTAGCGTAAATAAAAACGTTTTTGTATACTTAATGTACATTAGACCTGCACTGTTATGCAATCGCAACTTCCGTCTATCTTTCTCGTCTCGTCGTTAGTACACGGAAGCACCATTCGCACCGGCACTTTTTCGCATCTGCGAAAACTTCGTCTTGGAACCTCTTTGCCTTCCGAACACGTCTTTCGTAACTCACCAGGGGGACGCGACGTCGGTCTCTAAGAGAGGACTATTCACGAAGGTAGCCTCTTTCGTGACCGGGAAAGAACTTGGTCCGCGTAAGCCGTGGGAAACCATTCCCGGCCAGCCGTCTTTCCGGTGCAAACTGCATGTGCGCCAACCATATTCGGCTCTATTCCGTCTTGAAAGCAACTCGATAACGAAATTCTTCGCATTGTTGCCGTGGAAAATGTATCGCGGCGGGTCTTTTCTTGCGCGGTAAAAATTATTTTCGCAAAGAGTGTAGGTCAATCAAGCAAGCTGTCGACGACGGAAATACTATTCTATATTTTTTATTCTATTATAAAATTCAATCTACGTGCATACGCGAATAATCTTGTTTATATTATAAACATTAACGTAATAATTTTTTACGCTATCTATATTGATTCATTCGAACAGATCAGCATAAAAAGAAATTATGGAGATTTATCGCTTTTTTAGTACGGAATTTTTCATAATGTAGTGTAATAATAAAAGTTATTTAATTTTTTAAACATAAATCTTATTTATCTATGTTTATTATTTTATCTATGTTCATAAAAAATTGTATTGTAAATAATATATTTTAAAGAAAAAAATATTGAAAAGATGGCCAAATCTCCCTTTTTTCAACCAACTAGACAAAAAAAATATATTTTTTATACGACTAAAATAAGGTTTTCTAAAAATAATTGATTAAAATCTGCTTTTTATTTATTAAAAATTTAAAAACGGATAATTTGACATTTATATGCAAGACTTAATTTACAATTATTAAAGTTTATTAGTAGATAGAGGACACTTTAAATTATTTATTCTCTTCATCATAAAAGAAAAAAAGAGAGAAAGAGAGAACTTAGTTAAAAAGCAAATTTTAAAGTTGTTTGCGTAGCAAAAGCAATCGCATTTTTTATCACGTAAGCATTTTTAGTGTTTTCTTGTAACCTAAAAGAATATTTATGAAGATCATAATATTTTCCACATAAATGTAAGATGTTGTTTGTTATATTTTGCTATATTATATTTTATACAACCACTCGCTTGCGTCTAGTTAATTGTAAGTAGAGATACTAATTAATTTTTAACTTGTGAACATTAACTTTGGCGCGTGAATAAATCTGTCCTACGATAATAGCAGTAACCTCCTATTCTGGGATAAGCACGACACTTTTTTTCCAATAATATCGTTTTACTAGAATATATATGGTTACAATATTAAGTAATAATTAATTATAAAAAAATAATTTAATATAGTTCGAAAATATAGCTTTCATGTTACTAGTTAATGCAATGATCATAGCAGTAAATTAAGACACGATTAAACTTATATTCTCTGAGAAAGCTTTTCTCGTTGAAATAGATTACAATATAGATTCAATTTTAATTTAACATTTGAATCTCAAGATGAGTAAATACAATAATCTCATCAATTATTTCACAAATACGAAAAATCTAATCATGGAAGAGATGAGATTCCTGCAAATTTTTGTCTCTATCAAGGCGAGCGATTGTTTCTATCGATTTTTTCTCTCAAATATTCTGCTGCGTTTGTCAAAGCAAGAGAGAAAATTGAACTGCTGCAATCAGTTGCTTTATCCTTCACATATTTCTCTACGTTTTATATCATCATCTTATAGAATTTTTTTTGTGTAAAATGGTTTGAAGATTAATCTAGATACTTCAAAAAACAAATCAATTAAAAATTTTAAACCGGTAACAAATATTAAAACAAGATGAAACAAATCAACATATATAAATTGCTTAATTTTGACATTTCAGTTGATTTATTTACTTAGACAGATAGATAGAAACTCTAAACTATCTGGTGTATCTTCTAAGCACAATCCACCATATCATATCCAGCTGCCATTTACTAAACTCGGATAAAGCGATGTGATGGATTTACTTTGCATGATATATGTGTTGCTTATGCAGCTTTACTCGTGTGATACATCGTTCTCTTAGCTAGTTCAGATTGTACTTGTGTCTTGTATATCAATTTATAAAAATGATAATCGTAACTTTTTTATTTTCTAAAATTTGCAAAACTTGCAATATATGTATATTAATATATGTATATACATAAATTAAATAAAATGGTAATATATTATGTGTGCTTTAAATTTATAAACTATATTATTTGCTTAGTTAAATTTAATTAATTAATTAAAATATTTGAATTTAATTATTATCCACACATGTCTTTTTGATCTGCTTGATATACGCTGCGGTTTACCGAACAGCTTGCGTTATCACGCTTGAAGAAAAAGATGTGTCATAAAAAATAGAACCGTCTTTCCAACACCGCGCATCCTTTTGCAACACCCTATCCAACTTCCGGTTGCGATCTATAACAAAGCGATGAGTTACGATCAGTTAAAGTCACGCGCCGAAGATCGCCTCGGTAAAAAAAACTCCTTCAATAGAACAAAAAAATATCTCCCGTAAGGAAAAACGGAAATGTAGGAGGGTGTGGGCCGGATGTAGCCCGGGACGCTGCGAAAATTCGAGCGAATTCGAGATCGGCGGGGCGAATCGAGATTTTACGAGCGGCCCGTCGTACCGGCGATGGGGCGCGAATCTACATTCGTCGCGGTGTGTGCGGTGTGCACGCAGAATATTGCGACAGGCGGTAGCGGAGCATGATCGACCACCGAGATAGCCATCTATCTAGCCTCGTACGAATGGGTATCGCCGGTCAACTCTGCAGTATACTGGAATGAGTCTTCTCTATAGCCTACAGAGAACCGTAGTACCAAATTAGAACAAGACAGATATAGGAACAGATGGATCTGTCTCTTTTTCCTTTTATGTTTACTGAATGGAAATTATATGTTTCTTATCAGACATTTAGTAAACAGCGTCACTCTTAAACTTGCTTTCCATTATCTTATTTATTAATTAAAATACTCAAAGTGTGAAATATTTTATCAAAGATTGTGAAAGTCTTTCCTGACAATGGCACACGTGGAGTTGTTTTTTCTCAGTATGATATTACAATAACGTCGCGAATCTGTGATATATCCTTTATATATATAAGTATATATATATATATATATTCTTCTCAAACCTCAGCGACATCTTCACTCCTTGACGGTTTATTCCAGTGTGTTGTAGAGTTAAGTTTATCGTGCACTGCTCCGTTTGTTAGTATGCGCGTGAACGCGCGCATAGTCTCTGGGACGTTCTCGTCGCAATGTGGTCATTGTTTCAGTACCGCCGGATATCCTGGACTATCCCACCAGCACGGACATGGTGGTGCGAGAGGGTAGCAACGTGACGCTACGGTGCGCGGCGACAGGAACACCAGAGCCAACAGTCACGTGGCGTCGCGAGGCAGGCGGCACGATCAGCGTGTCAAACATTTTCGAAGGTACGTATCTTCGAACTATTATGCGGTCGATTCTGTCTCTCTCTCTCATCGGACACCGATCATCGCGTCCCATTGCGCAATGACTGCCTATTGCTGTTTGCAGATAGAGTCGCGTTTCGCGTTTCTTCTCGCACGATCCCCACGCCTCTTTTCAACCTCCTGTTGTCGTTGTCTCGCGTATATTGAACGTAAACCCGCTCGTAGAACGTCTGTTGCGAGGCTTTCTCGCGCTCTCGCTCTAAAACAGAGTGACAGAAAGCTCGCTGTGCCGTTTCGCGCTGATTGAGCGAGACGTTTATTGTGCACCCAGTCGGATCATTGAATGAGTTTTGATGGACGGCATTGAATCGATACGCGAATGTGCTTTTTGTAGAATTCACTGTAGATCGAACACGCTTGATAAAATTTGATGAAATATCGCAGATAATATAAATAAAGTAAATTTACTTATTGAACCCGATCAAAACTGCATTTGAATTGGTTAAAGTATAAAATTTTCAAAAAAGAATTAGTAATAAAATAAATTTTGCGTAGAATATGTTTTATCGTAGAATGTTGAATGTGTTCAATCAAAATCGGAGTGAAATAATTAAATGTCAATATAATAAAAAAATACAAATTTCAACTAAAATTTAATGAGAATCTGCTTTTTTTAGAAAGCATAAATCTGTCAAAATACACAATCAAATACGATCTCCGCAATGACAGTCGCGATACGAAGTTTGACAAGAAAATCAATTTAGTAAAAACGGAATAACTATAAAATTCAATTTGACTTAACACGTTTTTCTTAAATTAGCATTATTTTCTTGTGCGAAACTTATGTTATAAATTAATCTGCTTTTATTGATTTTCGATAACAATAAAATCATATCATGTAATTTAAATAATGTAGCAAACATTCTATTCTTAATAAGTTCTCACTATATCTTTTACTAATCTCTATCTATTTAATATATATGTATTTTTTCTTTTTATAATTACGAGCTTTTGATTCAATTGACGTTTTTTTATTACTTTGACGAACGTTCAACAGTAATTTATTTCCTCTCTATCCATTCCATTTTCTGCAGTCTCTCGCAACCGGCGAGAGAATTTAACGATTCGTTACACAAAATGGTTTCTTTCCTGATGTTATTATCAGCAAACTGCCGCGGGCGTAATGTCCATCGAAATAAAATTGCCGAGTATTTTATAATATAAACTCGTTTACTTAACCCATTCGTCGAGAAATTAATTTTGTTTACAATTCCGAACGAATTTCTATCGTTGTGCTATCCTTGAGTAAAGTCCAACAGCAACTAATAATCAATATGTAATTTAATTTTTTATTTGTTGTGGAAAAAATGTTGTACACAAATGTTTTCGACAGAATATTTTAGGGATTATTTTTTGTTAATGTACGATGTTATAATTTTTCTAATGAATATAAATGTTAATGTTAGTAATAATTTATTCATTTTTAAATTTATTTTTTTAGAATTAATAAGGTAGTTTTCGTCCTCGCAATCTAATCACTCACGCGCTTTCGGTTTCCGACTTTATTTAATGGCACTCTTATTTTTCGCGCCGCCAGTGTCAGGATTGTTTAGATCTTTCGCTGACTAATTGCACCAGCAAGTGTCGGAGACATTTTCGATTGTACATCAGACAGATAGCTTAAGTACCGCTTTAGTCTCTTTCTTCTTCGACTTCAAGCTCTTCTCTAACCCACCCATCCCCTTTCTCTTTCACTCTATTTCTGTTCCTTTATCGCCGAGTTGGTACTGAGTTTCGTGCTTCGGAAACACCGACGGACCAAAGCACAACACACTTGTAAAGTATTTTTCGTCCTTTCGTGCGAGACCGTGCCAAGGGGCGTAAAGGGTCGAAGAGGCGTCTTGCAGCTGTGAGATATTGCAGCGACCACGCAATGATTTATTCACCGGACGAAACTTTATCTTTCGATTTTAAAGAATTGCTTTAAAACATTTTGTCGCATTCCGTTGTCTCTCTATTCCTCTGTTCATTTCGCATCTGTCTTGTGGGAAGGTCGCGATTCCATTAAGCGATAAGTGCCGGAAAATAGAGTATTCCATCGCGCGGCTGTGCGCCATCACTCTTACAATTTTCGCGCACTCAGTCCGTACACTCCGTTTGACTTCTAATAATAGTTGAAGAGAAAAGAGGTTCTTTATTCTTTTATTCCTGTATGATAATTCGTACTAAGAGATTTTGCTTTCTGCAGACGATAAAAGTTTGATGCATGAATTTACTTCAAAGATCTCAACAGGTGCACGAACGAAAACGCTTTTTAAGTTATCAAAGCGAAGAGGAGCAGATGTTGTTATATATAAGTTTTATAGTACATATTCAAGTAGCGTAAAGAATTAAGCGCGAGTGGAATATTTTATATTTTTGAATAAGATGTGGTAAGTAAATATGTAGAATTTTAGACGATCAAAATGATTGAAAAATTATTGAGTGATAAATATTCTACACGCACATGCATATGGAATAATCATCATAAAATGATATAGAATAATATATAATAATTTTATTATTCCAAACTTGTTGAAATATCTTGTTATTCTAAAAGCTGTAACTACAACATTTAATTTTACATTAAAAATTTTTCTCTGCAGATATGTGTGTATGTGCTTCTGTCTTTATTTAAATAAAAATTTTTATTAAAATAGAATATTAAAATAGTTGCATATATCATTTCATATGTTATTTAATAACTTATAAATGTTTATATTATGTAAACTATGGAATATTGTTTTGACACCACACATTATTAGGCTGTTGATCTGTAAAGAAACCATGTAAATTATATGATAATCAATCTGGAAATGAATGTGCTAGATTGTCAATTTAACTCCATTACGCATTCATGACATGGAACTAATTGTAATTTCAATATACAAATCGATTAGCACGATTAATTATATAATATCAAAATTAAGGAAATATACATTTTAATTAAACTTGAAATCAATTGTTTCGCAATATTAAGCTAGTCGACTGTGTTGCAACATGCAAAACGAGAATTATTGGAAAACATCAGAGAGCAAATATTAATTTACAACGTATAAAATTACAACTGACATAATGAGTGCTACTTTGTCCACTTTTGTGGTGTATTATTATTTATATTACGTTTTATTTAATGTAATTTTCAGCATAACAAAATTATACGTCATTTGGCAAATTATTTCATTTTTTTATTATTAATCTGTATATTGCGAAACTTTTTAATTGTTTTACTGCTTTTCAAATGGGAAAGTATATTCAGTGTACGCCACTTAAATTGCGCGTTTGCATATTTTGCAGGATGTGGGACATAAGTTTAAATATGTTTCATGTTTCATGTTCCCGCCACTTGCTTACCACGTAATTATCGTACATGCGCTTGTTAGTTACATTATACGGTATGTCATGAAAGATGAGAAGTACATATACATAAAGAAAATAAGAAAAAATATAATTGTTTAAATTAATATTATTAGCCACGTCTAATAATTAGCAAAATTCTAATGCGCTTCATACAGAGAAATCTTTTTTATCATTATTGCAATTATTCTATTAGTATTTGTTAGTAAATGTATTTTAAAGCACCAAATGTGGAAAATAAAAAATATTAGATTACGAAAGAATTATACTTCTAGAGAAAAAGACTTTTATGCAAAGAGTTCAAGTCGTAAGAAGTTTGCGTTTCGCGAGAAAAAAAAACGTTCTTTTTTTATATACTCGAAAAAATATGATTCTTGTCATCAATAAAAATGATGCTCATAAACTAATATTATCATAGACTGCGTAACTACAAATTTATATATTACAAAAATATGTTTATGATTCAAAACGCTTCGTTACGAATTAACGACGCGACATTAATTAATCAGATCGTGTCACAGGCGTATTTCATTGAACGATGAAGTGTACATAACAATGCGGTATAACCGCGCGTTTATATGTACGCATATATGTCTGCATCTGTATAAATTGTTCTAGCTGCGACTATCCAGGGCCCGGAACTGGAAATAACACGCATCACGCGTCTCCATATGGGACCATATCTCTGCATAGCATCCAACGGGGTGCCACCAACAGTCAGCAAGCGGATCCTTCTCACTGTTCACTGTACGTAACTTTATTGTCTGTTAGATTCTGCTTTACAACTAACGTTAAGAAACTGGCCTTAATACGCTGACATGAAATATAATAAAATATAACACAAATGACTTTTCTATTTCTAATTAAGAGAAATATTGTTAAATGCGCTTTTATTTTATCGAGTAGAAATTTAAAAAATATTTTATGGAATTATTAAATATTACTATAGCAAATAGTGGAAATACTGGAAATTTTAATTAAAATTTATGAAATAATTATTAATTAATCTTTTTAAGAGTAAAATATAACATACAAAATATTATATTATTGCAATTTCTGTTCTAAAAATAAAATTTTCATTTATATATGTATACTTAGTGATATACATGTGAATGCTATTTTATGCAGTACTGTTCTGTCCTGGTAGTAGAAATCTTTTCTTATGCGCGCTCCGCGCTTGCCACAAAATATAATTTAAATTGTCGTACTCGCGCGTGGTGTGAACGATCCCGCGTAATGACGCCTCTCGGGGTAGGCATGGTGAATAGCTGATCCCGAGGGCCATTGTTCCTGAAAACGGAGTTAAATCTTTCCTACCGCCGGCTACGTAATTTTGCCATGCAATGTCATGAGTCGTTTACTACGAGGACAAGTGACGTCTCTGGATTGATTAAAAAATAAGAGAACTCAGTTAAGAGAGGAAATATTTAGAAAAAACGAGCAGAAGAACTCTCGTAAGATTTGCGTCAAATGTCAGACGTTGAATTCCGTGATGAATTTGAAAAGTTTCTGACTGATATTTCATTAAGTTCTATTTTTTTTTGTAATTTTAACATTTTTAACATTTCAGTGTGTTGTCAGTTAAGGCTTAAACTGAAATCTGATTACACTAAATTTAATATAAATTTAATCAATTGTTTTATTATTTTATTATTTTATTTGTTATTTCAATGCATTGAAATATTTAATAATAAAGGCAATAAACATTTAAAAAATACCGCCCTCCCTACACACATGCACACATATCTACAGGTTTTCGTTTAAAATAATAAATATTTAACATATGAATAGCATAATATTCATGCTTTAATGTTTATTTTATCGAGATTATCTTGCGCAGTTCCGCCTATGGTTTGGATCGAAAATCAGCTAGTGGGTGCTTACGAAGGACAAAATCTCATATTAGAATGTCGCAGTGAAGCGCATCCTAGTCCTATCACCTATTGGACGAGGCCATCGAATGAGACTATTACTAACGGTGAGCATTGTACATATTAATGAAAATATAAATCTAACCATGCTAGGCAATCGCTTTGTTAATTCAGTTTATATGGAGCAAAATTTTTATAAAGCAAATTAAACAAATATACATATTCAAAAGGAATCAATTATTAAATACATGAAGATAGTACCGTGCTGTTAATAACTATATTTTCATGTATGCATTTTAATCTGAGGCAAATTTTGTTTCTTACTAAAGTTTCTGTTAGACCTCTATATTTTTCGAAAGCAAACATAACAAATTAACATCTCATGAATTCGTGCTTGTTAAGATAATGTTTACCGTTGAAGAATTCATGAATAACATTCACTATCTATAAAGGAGGAAAAATGAGAGCTTTGTGCGAAAACCGAGAACTTGTTTCATTCCAGTTTGAAATAATGATTGCAAGTCTTTCTTTTTCGCGTGCGCACGCTGAGTGGTGCACGACGTGGCGCACGCACGAGCAGCTGTAATGCGATTCGCCTTAATTACACCGCGCTAACGTGGTCGTTTCATTCTAATTGCTACCATGCACCTTTGCGATACGCCAGGGGGTTAAGGGCAAGGGCAGCGGCAGTAAAAGTTAAGACGTGTGCGTGCCACCTCGGGTCGCTAATCCGTGACAGCACCCTCTGTACACGCGGTAGGCTAAAATTTTCTCCTTAAAGTGTTATAATAGAAAAGTACATTTGAATCAATTAAGAGCACGCGGCATTGTTTTGATGCAGATCTCAGGTTTCATCTACTACTTTAGTTAATTGACATTTGATGGAAGTTTGGGCTCAAAACTAGAATAATAAAACTGACATTAAAATTTTTGTCCATTATGAAAAGAAACTCTATTTTGCATACGCGCGAGTCTTGCATATATATTATACCCCTTCATTTCACCTACCTAAGCGAAACGACTCTATAAGAATTCTTATGACGATACGTGCTCTCCATACATCTCATACATATGCATGCGCGTATCCATATAAATAACTTTACTTATTGGCTGTTGCTATGATAATAGAGTTGCTAGTTGCTAACTCCTATCAGGAAGACATCAAATAAGGATAATAACAATAAGGAAATTTGCTAGAAGAAACGCAAGGATATCACGCAAAAAATCTTAAAAGTATTCATTATCTTCATAAATAATTCAACAATTTTATAAAAAAATAATAAATAAATTAACTGAAATGTCTGATCAATATCACATCAAACTTCTTTTCTGAATTTCAATTTTATTATTAAAAAATTTATTCCGATAAGATCTCCATTTATTTTTATTATGCTTTTAAATAAACTGTATATAATCACGTACATTCATATCACTAGCAAGTAAGCTTTTATGGAAGTGTAGTGTGATTGTTACAAATAATGCGATTTGGATGCATAAATGCGTAAATAAATGCTAGAGTAAACTTCCCTAAAGTAATATTTCCACGCTGACAGTATCATGGCCTCTAACTAACATATGAAAATCGACTTCCGTGCCGTCATCCACGCGCCAGAACGAAAACGACATTTACACGAATAACATGGTCCGCTCCGTGCATACTTTGCACGATTCCATAATGCTTAAGCGGCTTGGAACATAAATACGAAGTTTACTACTGTGCTCATCGATCCGGAATTTTCTGTTATTTCAAACTGTCATAAAAGCTTGTCTAGTCAGTGTTATTCCATTTGTAATGAAACAAATTAGCTTTTTAACGAGGTACAAGTGTAATTACATTACATAAAAAATTTTTGATTTAGCTGTGTTCAATTAATAATATCCTGAATTATGGACTTCTCGATTAGAAACAACGAGTGTGATTTTAATCTACGTCTGTTTTATTGAACGTTACGGTTCTTGTTTTTTCACTACAATTCGATACAAAAAATAACTTTGCTAAAACTGCTACACTTATTTCTGCCGTGTTTTATTATTATTTCGGTATTTTATCATTGTATAATCGCTATTTTCATCAACATTTTTGCACTTTTTTCAGATGAAAACTATAAGGTTGAAACAATCTCTAAAGGATTATATGAAATAATGATGAGGCTTGTCATAAAATCTGTACGAGCACAGGATTTCGGATCTTTTCGGTGCGTGGCAACAAATTCTCTCGGGCAAACTGATGGAAAAATAAAACTCTACAGTGAGTAACATTTACAAATCTGTCATCTATAAGCTATATGTAAAAAAATATTATTTTTATTTATCGAATGTTATCCATTTTTTTAAATTACACATTTCTGTGAAAAATATTTAACTGTGAAAAAAAATTGACGAAAGAACTATTTGCAGAAAATAAACGTGTCTATTAAATAAGCTTATTGAATATTAAGTTTATTTGTATAATAAGTTTTTATATTTGCTTATTTTTGAATTTTATATTTTTATATCATAAAAAAGACGAGATCAACAAAATTGTATAAAAATAGCTTTTTAATTCGTAAAACTTTTTGTAAATAAATATTTAAATATAAAATTATTTTTAAAGTATTTATTATTCAAAGTTGCTTTTCAATTTATTTATCATGTTATTCATTTTGCATGATATCAAAAACTGTGCACTAAATATCTTGTTTAATTTTCATAATGCGTATATTATTATGTATATATATATATATATATATATATATATATATATATATATATATATATATATATATATATATCTGTATATATTTTAATATTTATACAGTAATGATGTAATTATTAGAGAAATTATAGTCAATTTACTGACAACTAAATTTTACGCTATTTCTTCTTATAACATTTTTTAACTACATTTCTTGTAAATACTATGCGCGGAAATCATTCTTAAATTCGTGTTATTTTTATCAATACAAAAAACACGCATAGAATTCTATGTTAAAATCATTCGTCTAGATTTGATGTGAAAACATCATCTGATAGGATATGCACAAAATTTGGTAATTAAATTTGTTTGATAAAAATGTATGATTTGGAATTAACTGTGGTACAACAATATCGTAAATATGCAAATAAAGCAGCATAAAACGAGTGAAAAATCTACGTTCATAATATCGAAATAATTATTCTTATAGCACGTATACAACGTTGTTATTTCGGGGGCAACGGAACGTCTCGTTCCGGAATTAAATCAACGGGCGCGATTCTTAAGCGGATACCTTATCGGTTTATCGCCGATCGATATAAACTCCTCGACGTAATTGCCCCAATCTCAGTGTACCAATGCACCCCGTCCCTCGTTTTACGGCGCCATCGCTAGATTCCATCATCGTTCCGTGCATACGAACTTTGGAAGCCAAACAACCTCCGTTCCTGTTTACTTCTATCCCCTCGTTCATCCCCGTCGCACTGATGGGATAAAAAGAACGGCAATCTCGCAAAACGTGAAAGATGTTGTTACTCGTTAGCTAACGGAATTAGCAGCCTCGCCATTTCTTCGCGCACAATATAGAACGGAAGTGTCCGCGTGGGTGCCTAGAAGGGATCGTTGCTGTGAAAATCGAATCACATCGAGTCACGTCACTTCGCGTCACGTCATGTCATCTTCGTATCACTACGTCACTACGTCCATTCTGTTCACCGTCATTATATTTCATTGGATCTCTCGCGCACGATTCAAGTGGCGAGCATACCAAATGCGTAAAGCACGACCCGTCCGTTCCGTTCGACCTCGCTGATGTTAATTGATCGCTTCTCCAATTAGAGTGTCGGGAGGAGGTGAGGGATGGGGCAATGAGAAAGGACAGAAACGATCCGCTCAAAGAGAAGGGAAGGAGACGATGGCTTTAACGAAAATCACCGTTCATGATGATTGGATGAGTGGGAGGGGAAAAGGGGAGCCGCGCGCGCGAGGTACTTAATTACCGACAATTGCAAATAAAACGCTGCGGTCGAAGCGAAAGCGACGAGAAAGCCGAGACACGCCCGCACGCCCAGTACCGACCGTCACGAATTTCCATTTTCGCGAATCACTTCTCCAGTAATTAGCCCGATAGTTTAATCCAACGGGTCGCGCCTCATTGAAATGCCGGTCGACCTGCATACCACCCTGTCGCTATAGTCGAAAGCTTTTTCCGGTGTCGGCGGCGCGGCGCACACGCTTAACAACATTAGCAATAATTATCGGGGAGAACGAGCCGTGGATTACATGCTGAAGTCGGTTAACTTCGATGAGAATCTTACTTGAGCTCGGAAAGGAAGGCGAAGGGAGGAGGGAAAGAACGAATTGTCGACGAACGTGGTGTAGTTTATGCGGGGAAAGACGAGTTGCGAGAGGGATGCTTTAAGAACGGCTAGACTATAAGGGACTCTGTGCTCGGCTTGCGCCATCGCGTCGGTCGTTCCGAGTCTGTACAATGACGTGCACGCATGGCATGCAAAGTCTGTGCATGATGGCCTATATTCAAATTGCATTATATCACCGGATGAGGGGGCGCGCGCGCGCGCACGTATAGATGTGACCGATAAATGCGTCGTAGAAGCCATGGTCGTTAGTTCACTTTTGCTTCGCTTACTGATACAAGCGAGGTGTTCTTTGAGGAAGAATTAAGTCGCAATTGGTCCCGTAAATTTCATTTCACAATGGAATACCGTAAAATAATTCCCAGGTATTATATTAGCAATTAGTAATATAATTATTCTATTATTAACTAATTGGTACATTGCAGTGCTAAAATTAGCTGTGTTAAGTAGTTTGGCAAATTATTGAATTATATAGATATCAATACCTATACATTTAACGCATCGAAATTATTACATTTTTTTCGATTTGTATAAAAAAGAAAAAAAGAAGAGAAAGAGATTGTTCTACATTCTAAACATAAAACAATTGCGCTTCTATTTTTTACTATCTTTCATTCACCGAGATTAATGATAGGTATACACGAAATTTTGAATTTCGAAATTTTTATATTCATAATTCGTCGCGTTATTCATAACTTCGTTATTCTCTTGTAAAGCGTGAATAGAAATAAATGAAAAGAAAACAAGTTGAATTATTTTACTTCCACGCTTGATCATTGCATCCTCAGACGTTATTAAGCATATTACCATGAAATGGCAGGCATCACCGGTAGTGAAGTGAATAGAATTGCGGGTCTTACGGTGGAACACATTACCGGCTAATTGCAGTGAGGTGGAAGAGCCCTGAACATCTTAAACCACAGTCGCAATATTCATTACCACAGGCATAGCCAGCATCAAAGAAAATGATATAACGGCATGCTAATAAATGTAAATTTGTAATTTAAGACATTCGGGACGATAACTATCCCGACAGTTTCTCGGTAACAGTGCGGTGCATAAAGCTGACCACAATTCTGATGTTCAACCAGAACGTAGTGCCCAAGCGTAATTAATGTATTTATTAAATTGCACTGTTGAACCAAACTGTCAGGATCGTCGAGAGCATACATTCCACATCTAAGCATACTTTCGAAAATGCGGTGCAGCGTGTGCTTTCCGAGATTTGCAAACAGTCACTATGAGTAAACGTAAATGCATTGACCTTGTCGGGTAAACACAATTGTTTGTGAATTGAAATCAAAACAACATTGCATAAGCTTCCGCGCATCGAAACGAAAGTTGATTAGTATTTCAATAACGTTTGTAGCCGAAATTTCATTACAATAATAATTAAACTTCAAAGAGTGCAAAAACAATTTTTTTAAAAGTTGAAATAACTTTTGCAGGTCGCATTTAAAAATTACAATTTATAATTAGCGATAAAAATATTTATGGGGGGCAGTACAAATTAATCAATCATGATCATGAATCGTGATTTTCATAACTTAATGATAACAGATAGAAAGTGTATTAGTTAATCGTTAGGATTATTGATAAATGCAAACGCCTAAATTTGGACTGATCATCGAAATGGAAATTGAATAACCGTTGCAGTATGCACTGCGGTAGAAAGCCGCTTTACATCAAATTGCGTTTGAAACGAAGAGACGTAAGCAGACACATAAATCATAATTCTTAATTATGCTCTATAAATAGTAACAGAAATCAATAAATATTTCTTTTTACTTTCATTCGAGTTTAATCAATTTACGTAAATATATGTTCAATATATACAAGTTAAAAAAAACCATATTTATTTTTACGTTTATGTTTGCAATACTGTTCTTGTCAATATCGACGGAACATTGACATTCGCGTTTGTTCCGTAGTCTCAATTGTCTCTGGTTGTCACCTCAACATGTTGCGTGGCTGGCGCGTTGTCAGACTGCGGATTAATTAGAAAAAGTGTAGTTTCGTCTCATGCGGCAATGCCGATGCACGCGCGAGGGAATTAATATCGCTTTCGAACTCTCGACATTTCGACGGAGCGTGCAAGTGACAAGAGCTCTCCGGGTTTTGTGGGAACGCCGTTCGGACGACATTCCAATACGTCAAATCGGAGAGCATCGCGCGGAAAGTCCGACCGCTTGGCCGATTATTTTCCCGGTTATTACTCGCGGACAGGCTTTACCGATATCTCGATTCGCCGTTTATGCCCGTTCGTTTCGAACGCGATTCGACGTAAAGCGGCTTTCTATCCGCCGCGCTGCGACGGTCATTCAATCTCCATTTCAATGATCAATCGGAATTTAGGTGTTCGTATTTGTCAATGATCCTAATGATTAATTAATATTCTTTGTATTTATTGACATCCAGTTGTGGAAATTACCATTTATTAATTTATATTGTTATCCTACAAACCTACAAATGTTTTAATCATTAAATCTTTGAATATTTTCATTATTACAAATAAATTTCAAATAATTGTATTTTAAACTAATTAGTAAAATCAATAATAGTAACGAATAAACGTGATTTAAACTAAAAATATGGGCTTTTAGCTCTTAGAATTATGAAATTGTTTTAAAATCGTTCCTTTTTTATTTTATTAATATAACAAAGATAAATTGATTGTTATATTAAATTATTTTAAGTAGTAATTAAGAGTAGGTAACTCTCGGTGGAAATTCTATGTACAAAAAAGGAGAGAAAGATATACTATTCTTTTGTTATTTAAAAAGTTCGCAAAAAGATTTGTCTAGAAACTTGCTGCAAAATTTTATTTCTTATCAAAAACACATTTAATATTTTACTTGAGCTATTCTAACCCCGAATATTTATTGTATCGTCGTGTTTTCAGAGATCGATAAGCCACCAACAACGCGCAAACCAGGCATGAGACGAGACTCGAAGAAGACATGGAAGATCGATCACAACCATGAAAAGAAGGCTGCCGGTATGAAGGACGAGCCTATGCTAAAAGGTGATGATATCGACGACGAGCAGATCGATTTTCAGTCTGCGACGGCCTCATCAGTGTTTCATCGTCATTTATTTACGAATTTCGGGATAACCACCATAACCGCAATACTGGCGGGCGGCTTATCCACGTAGACACTACTATTGTGCATCAGGAAACTATACTACGAGAGAGAGAGAGAGAGAGAGAGAGAGAGAGAGAGAAGAGAGAGAGAGAGAGAAGGAGAGTAATATAATGTAGAAAGTGTTTCATAGACACGAGACTAGACATCGCATGTGACAAATGTCGCAACGAAGAAATAACGATAAGCATAATATTGCGAAGGGTTGTCGCTCTCCGTAAAAAGTCTCTTCCTGTTGTACATGAAATTTACATAAAGTGAATGTAAAGTGAAGAGCTGTTTTTACATAGAGGTGTGGAGTTCGAAGTATCTGGCTGATCAGATCAGAGTGACCAGAGTACTTCGTGAGAAGAGTAATTAACACATTGCAAGCCGAACATGTACTAATAGACTTTCCTCTCTATCTAAAGACGTAGAAAGCCACCAATCTATTAACCCCTTTGCGATAAAGGTGCCAGCGTAGAACTGGCTTTTACCGTTCCCATTCAAAGCGGTAACTTTGTTGACCCCACCATCACTTAACGCTAAAGAAAGTCTGTAGATCCAGGAAGAAGGAAATATATATTATTTGCGTTTGCATTTTCTAATAAGTTGTCAAAATAAATGTCGATGATAGCATAAAAATTATCTTAGAAGCCATTTTAAGAAATTATTTTATGCAAGTATATTTTTTTTCTACTTTTGTATTCAATAAAATATAAAATCTGATTTTATCTTTTCGTATAATACTTTAATCTTTAATGTCTGTAATTAATTCTTAAAATCAGCTTCTATATATTAAATCTTTTAACTTAATAAATATATTTTATTCTTTTTCAAGTAAGTATTTTTTGATAGATGTGAAAATACAGCCATATTTTATTATTACTCCTGTAACTTGAAATGTTAACAGAGCGTACATAGCTTGCAATTTGCTAATAATGTCTAAATGTGTAAGAGCAAGTCGTAAAGCATGAGTGATTGCATTGTGCGTATGTATAATTGAATTATAAAAATAATCATTAAGTTTATTGCAAGTTGTTTTTCAGAATTTGTCCAAAAATTAATTACGCATTATTGTAAATGTATAATTATCTATAAATGGAAAAAATATTCTTATATCGTTTACTTTATTTAAAAATTTTTCATTGTTTTGTTAGCTCCTCTTATAATAAAAAATGTAAATGTTAGAGAATGATAAACTTAGTTATATTTCATGTAGTATGTATTAATTAAGAATAAATAAATAAATCCTCTTGTATATATATGCAGCAAGGATAATGAGAATTTTGGAATAATACATTAAAATTTATTTATTAAGAAATATATTTAATATAGTGAATAAATAGATAATCATCAGATACTGGACATTTGATAGTACTGCCATTATATTAAATTACCATTGCTTCATATATATTTACTCATATCAGATATTTAATATATTTATCATAAATTTTACTGATTTTTGTTCGCATTGTTTCTTGGACATATAAATTATGCTACAAACAAAGAAATGTGCCTCACAAAAAATATTTCCATCAAGAAGAGTTTTTATTTCACATTTGAAAACATTTTATTTAAATATGTCGCAATAATTTTTGGACTGAGAGTTAAAAATTGCACGCTGTTATATCGTAAATGGCTGTATTAATGATTTACATAATGGCTATATAAAAGGTTGCTTTATTTTTTTTCCATCTTCTTTAAAATTTTGTCTAGTTATAATTTTATGATATACAACTAAGAAGAATATGAAAAAGTAAACAGTCTTATCCACACCTATGTTTTTAACTTATTAATTGTAGAGTATCCAGTTTGAGAATGAAGAGAGGCCAAAATATTTATGAATATTTTGTACAAAGATATATCAATAAAGTCGTGATATAAAACTTTTACTTTTTAGGAAGTTGTTTAACTTTAAAAATATCACGTCATTACCAAAAGTGAACTTATAATTCTATTTATTATTATTGAACTTTGATTTGTCCTATTGCTCAAGTTTGTTTTCAACTCTTATGCTAAGTTTTGCAGATTTGTGTAATATTGCCAATCTAATGTAATTGTTGCGTTTGTGTTGCAGGATGACAATAATTTTTTAAAAACTTCCGTCATTAACCGTATGATAAATAAAGTATTTTTAATTCGAATACCTCGAGACCATGCAAATGGTTATAGTAATAGATTCATTACATTTAATGTATATATGAGATGACACACGTAAAAAGCGTCGGAAATAAATTCACGAATTTTTCATTCATATGCCATAATTTAATAATTAGTGTTCTAAATGAATATAATGGTCATACAGAACATGCATCAACGAACAATAGTAATACCTTAATGTAGTATTTTCCGAATTGTAGATTGCAAAACATAAAATTAAAAAATGCGAATTTCTTACAAATAAACCCCTGTGAAAATATGTTAATGAAAAGTTTTAATGTTTATATGTTAAATAAATATATATAAAATACAAAAATGCTAAGCTTGATAAAATTACGGTTAAAATTAAAAATTTTAAGTTAAAATTTTTGAACGAGATGTTATTTTAAAATGTAGCCGTATTGAACATAATTAAAAATATAAAAAATCTGTAGATTGCTATAAATTACAAACGCGCGCTTAAAATACCGAATGCACTGAAGCGATACAGTCGATTCATCAGTCGAGCTTTCATTTCGTTTTCCTAACAAATTTGTTATCGATCAATCATATTTTGTTAGTCGCTTGCAAATTGCAAGTCTGGCTTAAATTTTCCAAATGGATCCATCAATTTTGCAATGCCGCTTGCGCACTTATGATGACCCCAAATGTGCTATGTACATACATGTATGTTATATGTAGACGTGTGATAACCGATAAATTATTGTACGTCGCATTTGTTTAATGCGTAGAACTATTGGTATTGTATAATAATAGTGTGTGTACGATATAGTAGAATAAGCCTCAGGGACGTGTATATATGCTAAATAAGCTGTAAGTTATATCAGTTTTTGCAATTTGTGGTCATAATAATTCTTCCCTCCCGTGTAAATATATGTACTTTATCATATACTTGGGCAATAAATGTTAGACAATCGTGATAACTTTTTGTGCAAATAGTTACATTTTTTAGTTAGATCATCCCGTTCTCTTTCTTATGATTTCTTTTAGTTTATAATAGCGCAAAGTTTGCTAAATTATATAGATTAAGTGGAAAAATTGTACTTAAATAAAAATTTATTATTTAAGTCTCTCTCGTTTACTTCATTTCATTCAATTTGTAATTTTATCAATTTAAAATCTATAATCACCTAAATGTATACATATATATATATATATATATATATATATATATATATATATATATATATATATATATATACATATGTGTATGCATTTGTATTCATCACATCTAATTATTATCAATTATATCTTTCAATTATAAACAAATGATTGTACTCACCAGGATATTGCAGTTTATTGAAAAATCAATAAATATTGAAAACATGCTCTTAATTAACAACTACCTGCTAAATTCGCTCGCTTGACTCTCGGAAATCACGAATTTATAATATATACATTGCAGATTGCAGATTTACTATGCAGTGGTACAAATGCGTAAATGCACACGCGAGATAAAATGCAATTTGTACCGTAACTGAGATATAGAATGAGTTAGAAATTATTCGAGTAATATAAAGGCAAAATTGCAAAATGTAGTAAGAAAAAGGTATAATGCATCGATATCTTTATAATCTAAAAATTTTTTTATAAAATATATCGTATTTAAAAAGTCCATAAATTTTAGGATAAAAGATATCATTTTATAAAGTAGATCATATCAATTGCAAAACAAGCTATTAATAGTTACGGATCTTTTATTGCACCAACAAACTGTGCTCTGAAATTGTACTTTGATATCTCACTCTTTTGCAAAATATTGGACATTAAAACTTATTAACAGAATTAAATAAAAAAAATATGTTTACATATATTAATATTATATTGAAGAGTATATTTTCAAAATTTTAATTCCCAAATTTAATTTTATAATTTATACCATACATTCATAATTATTTTTTCTTTATATATATTTTTGTAATTTACATTTTTCAATTTAAATTTTGCAATTTTACGATTTAAAAATAATAAATTGCACACATAACTTGTACAAGATTTGAAATTTTTTGTCATCAAAATGTAGCAAAAGTAAATTTGTATGTCATTATTAATTTTATTATTAAAAATATCAATTGTAAATGAGAATATAATTATGAAAGTGCGGTCATTAATATTTATATTAACAAAAAAAGACAGTTAATAATATTAGTATTTTGTGCAATTATGTACAGGTAATGAATAAAATCACTCACCGGTCGTTGTATTCTAGCTAAGTACGCTCTCACAGCTATACCTAATAAATAAAAATTTTTATAAATTTTAGTTATTATAAATTATCATACATTTTATATAAAAACAATTAATATTATTAATTTTATTTCGTATAAAATATAACTATATACAATAAATAGTTTTGAACATCTTGATAAATAAATTAATACAAATTTTGTAATTGATATGTAAATGTTACCACATTAACATACATACATTTTGAAATAATAAGCAAATAATTGTCCACTTACCAGCTAGAATATTGTAGTCTGCTCGATCCGCTGGAAATTTTGCCTTGATTGTTTCTCAATATATGCCTTAGATATGCCTTGACGTCAACTCTATCAAAGTCTTACAATCAGAGAGAGTGTTTTGGACCTAGTTCAATATTATAGATATATATTATCCATAAATTATATGATATGAATTATTATCAAACCATAACCATAATTATCAAATTATAACCATAATTATCAAATCATAACCATAATTATCAAATCATAACCATAATTATCAAATTATAACCATAATTATAAAATCATAACCATAATTATCAAATCATATGCAAGAAGTTCCAAATAATTATTAAAAACTTTTAAAAAATAATTTACTGATTACATATGTATTACAATAAAATTATATTTTAAATTTATAATAATAAACAAATAATCATATTTACCAGTTATGATATTATAGTATATTCGATCCACTGCAAATTTTTTCTCTCTTTCTCTCTCTCTCTCTCTCCTGTTAAAATTCTTTCACATTTGCTTCATCGAAGAATCGAGAAATATAAACCCGTACTTGTTGTCCACATTATTACACAAAATTCACTTACACATTATTTACGCAAAAGAAGAATCTACGTCACGATTTGCTATACCGCAATATATGAAACTTTGTGTCGTAACTCGTTTATACAAACACATCTTTATTGTTACAAGTATACCGCGATTAATTCGATATTGTACACATATTTCAATGAACGAGACAAACAAAAATTGTCATGGCGGGAAGAACGAATGCAAACACATAACAATCATCCGATTTAATTCTAAGAAGAACCGCTAGCCAGCAAGGGATGCGAGTCAACACAAGTATCATTCTGCCTTTGTTCGATATCCAATGAGCAACAGAGAGAATAATACTCTTGTGTATTCTCACTAGCTAGAAAGTACGCAAGCTGAATTTTGAATATTTTACATCTAATACCAGAGAGAAGACTGAGAGTGGACATGCCCGCATTTTACGTGTTTCTGTAGGCTAGCGCCTCTATATGCACAAAACGTGCACATTGAACTACGTAGCCAATGTCCAAGAATCCCGTAGATAATGTCCACGATCTTTTGGGTCTCTTCCGTGCTACGTCCACGACTTTTTGGTTCTGATATGTGCTATATCTACAAAGTGTCGATAATGCATACTTGTAAAACATGATTATGTATATCAATCAGATTTGAAATAATACACACGTATTGTAAATACATGTATTGTAGTATTTACTTTTGCATTTACAGTTTATTTAGCAAAAGATCAGTTATTTTCAATAACCTGTGTAATTTGAAAAT